AAATTTTTATTAGTAGCATATATCAATTTTAGATGAAAATTTTAAAATACCATATATTTCTATATAGAAATGATCTACATTACCCCCTACCCTTAAGAAAGTCTTTATGATTTATGAAACAAAATTAAATTATTATATGCAGTGGTAATATATTTTGTTTTCAATAAAAAATTTTAAAAAAAATATTTATGCAATAAATAATTAAGAAATTTAATACCATTTTATGAAATTATTTATTGAAATTTCTGTAGGAAAACTTAAATTTAAGCAATGTTTATAAAATAAAAATCACTTAAAAATTTACACATTAATAAAATCGATATTATGGCTTGAAAATTCATATTAATAAATTATCGATGCTATGTTTTTTTTTTTTAAACATCGATTTCGTAAATGATTTGGTGGTTAAGCTAGAGGGGTAAGAACAGGTGGAACTGTCGATGTTCACCTGGTGCACAATATATAAAAAAATTATTTTACAATACGTACCACCATGATTATAATCCAACACAATTTTTATTAGGTTACATAACTTTCGGATATTATGCCGGATTTTAATCCGACAGTCTTGTAAGGAGTGTGTAACTTAAAAATTACACTTTTGAAAAAAACTCTTTTACTTAAAAAAATTGTAGATGTCTTCACGCCGTAGAGATCGTTCACGTTCAGACTCACCTCAACCAAAAAAACATCATTCAATACGGGATGAAGACGAAGAACACATAAAATCAAAAAAGGAAAAAAAACATAAAAAAAAAAGTCATAAACGACAACGATCCGAGAGTGATTCTGAAGATGCTTTAACTAAATTGCCTAAAGGAATAACTCGTGTGTCCTCTTTTTTTATTAGTATATTCAAAGAATATACTTAAATCTAATTTAAAACCCTTGAAATAGCTATTTCGGAGGACGATTACTTTTCAAAATCAGCTGAATTTCGTACTTGGCTTAGAGAAAAAAAAGATAAATTTTTCGATGAATTGTCTTCTGAGCAATCACGCCGATATTTTAAGAAATTTGTTAGTGCTTGGAATAAATATAAATTAAACAGTTAAGAATATATCATTATTAATAGTTTTTTGACCACGAATTTTTTTACTAATTAATTAATTTTTTTTTTGTACTTTAGAGAAATATTATGATGGTATGAGATCATCACAACTGACAAGCTCAGAGACAACACGATATAAATGGAAACATTTGAAAATTAATCAGGATGAACTTGAAACTATCAAAAATTCTGTGGACCGACAAACTAACGTAAAATTCGCGTCCGAGGTACAGTTAAGATCAAGTGGGATTAGAAATGATAAGCCTAAAAAGATCATTGGTATTTTCTAACTTAATAATGTTAAATAAAACATAAATTGTACCTATATATATATTTTTTTTATCTAAGTAAATTCTTATTACAGGACCGTCTATGCCACCTGTTCGAGGGTCAGCTGATTATAACGAAGGTGAGACGGTTCTCAAGGGTTGTATACAAAAGTTTCTAGTTAGGCTTAATATTCATCACATCTCCGAGACCCGTAGATATGGATCAAGAGGACAAGGAACGATATGAGCGAGCACTACGAAAAAAAGATCGTAAAAATTTTCAAGCAACACGTGAAATGGTTCTTGATGAATTAGTGCCTAAGGCTACAGGTATATTGTTATCATAGAAAATTTGTGATCGCATAAGATTTATAAAGATTTATATATTTATAATTAAATTTTTTTTTTTAAGGTAAAGAAGCACTTATAGAAAAGAAAAGAGCTCGGAATAGTTATTATAGAAAGGAAGCAAGCCCAGATATTGAATTGAATGAAAGTGATCTAATGGGTGGTGATGACTATGAATCTAGGTAAGTTATTATAAACATGTACGATATATTTTATTGATTGTATTATATACAGGAACATCGTTTAAACAGTAATTATGGTTGTTTAGGCTTAGAGCTCAAAAACGATCTAAAGAGACACGTGATCAAAGGAAACGAGATTATAATGCAGAAAAGGCAGCAAGTATGAAAGAAAAAGTTAACGCATATCATTCAAAAGAACAGGAAACATTGGAAATGTTTAGACAGATGGCAGAACAGCAGAGAAAAGCAGGGGGTGGGTTGTGGGGCCAGCCAAATTCGTAATTGAATTGATATTGTCTGGAACACGCATAATTTCTGCAAAGTTACTTCGAAAGTGTCTCGTGATTTACGTTTTCTAGTTTATATTACGTTTGCACATTCTTTGAGTTAGTAACGTTTTTATTTCGTATTCAAAGCAATATAAGAAATTTAGTTTGAGTAATTTGGTTTGGATATATATAAATCAATTTATACTGGAGTTTTGTAAGTGTCGGCACGCGCACTATTAAACATAATATCAATGACCGTGCCTGGTATTATGTTTTAATAATGTGCGTGTCGGCACTTATAGAACCCTAATTTATACTTACATTCGATATCGCGATTTATAGTTACATCTGACGTTTATTTGGTTGATTATAAATAATTCAAAATCGTTGATTACAGTATTTGCCAAGTTATTATTTTGTTCAGAGCCACTTTATTATTTGATAAAAATACTATAAATAGCCATATACAGTGCCCGGGTCCATTTCACCAATTTTATGCATGTTTATATTATAGAAACACTTTGCATTTATAACATGCGATCTAGATTTTCGATTAAAGATTCTGAAATCCGTATCCAGATCTAGTACATGGAGTCTATTAGCCGGGTAAAAATTTTTATATAAACATTTATTTAGAAAGTTAAAATAGACTATCTTAATAAAGATTTGAGTAATTTAATATTAAAAATGGTTGTAATAGATTTAATGAGAAAAGAAATTAATATAACAAAAATATGCAGAATTGTAGATTTTGTTTTTTTTATAAAACTTGTAATCAAGTAATTATTAAACTAAATATATAATTGTAAAAAAAGAAAATGTTTTTTTTCAAAACTCATACGTCATACATTTTATACACTGTATTACGTATTAACTTTATTTAAAAATAAATTATTATTCTTTTTTTAACTTAAAGTTCTCAACAGCCCCTGTTTTTTGTATATAATTCTTACGTCACAGGGTAACTTTTGGAATATATACAGTCAGTGTTCTCAAATGACCAGGTCATTTGTATTTTTGAAATAAATTTTTTAAGTCATTTGAACTTAGAATGCTTAAATATAAAATTAATCTAGCTTATAAGGTTTTAAAAATTGGTCATTTGGTCATTTAAAAGTCATTTGAGAACACTGTATATAGTAGATACTAAACAACGTAGTGGTTTAATAAAAGTACTATGTTTAAGATTTAAGTTTCAAACAATTCGTACATACATACGTACGCATTAAAGAATCAGATGAACTATATCGATATGTGTATTTTTCAAGTTTGTTTTAGTACCCATGAGGGTACACCACATATGTTCTTAATGTTTTATTATTTATTATATATCCGGAAACCTAAGTATACTTATGTACAGGGAACTTAAGTATATTTATGTACAGGGAACCTAAATATACTTATCGTTATGTACACGGGTAAAAAAATTTACAACACACGGGGGTGCGCATGTCGGAGAATACGGTATTTAAAATAAAAATGATAACATAATCTACTTTATCCAATCAGAGATAGAATTGTATACAGCTGATTGATAAGAAAATAACTTTGTCTTTTCATAGTTAATTTTAAAAAAATTCATAACAAATGCTTACGCTAAATTAGGTTCATTTACCAAAAGCAAACACGTACGACGAAATTCCGAACTGTATAATACTTGTATATAGGGTTTAAAAAATATGCACGTGGGTATAAACGGCAGCAGGTGATTGGTGCGAAACATACCACTTCGCGGCATGATTTGCACCAATCCACGTGCATATTTTTTTAGAAATATAACGATAATGATTGTATAAATAAATTAAAAAGTTTTGATTCGATCAGGGCGCAGAAAACTCCCACGATTAATTTGTATGTACAACACCATTTCGATTTGTTAACGTTACGTGCATAAAAGTGTATACCTAAATATAGATGGTTTTTACCTTTTATAATAGCATATATATTCCGCGAGTTATTAATTGTATGCTATTGACAGGTTAAAGTATTTCCACAAAAGTAAAATTCCCACATCACTCACATTGCTTCACATTGCTTAACATGGTTTCGAATCTGTATTGTCAGAAATATTGCTACGTATATACATATGTCTGTATACATATGTACGAATATCCATTAATCTTGATAAAAGTCTGGTCATAAGACGTTTGAATTGACAAGCGTCACAAGAGTTGGAGAATGTGGAAATTTTACAATTGTATTGTATCAGATTGGGTGATCATGGGACTAACTAATGTTATAACGTTAACGTACACACAGAAAAGGGGTTGAACAACATTTTTTAATATCAATAATACCGATATCGATATGTAGTAAATAATAAATAATATAATGATATATATATATATAAATATATAATATAGATATATAATATATATATATATATATACAGGTTTCTATATATATATTCATTGTTTATAAATATCCTTTGCGAGCTGAATTTAAGCTCATAGAACTTTAATAATCTAACATTTAATGGACCATCAAAGAACCATCACTTTAGTGATTGTCCTTGGCGGATAAAAAATATTTAAAAACGCATTGATATCTTTTATTCTTTCAACGATCAAAAAATTTTTACATATTGGATCTTGATAAAAAAAGGTAACCAATTGTCAATAAATTAATTATTACCATCAATACTATTATCATCAACCTATAAAATTTGCAGTAAAACACGGAAGCAATATTAATGTTTCCAATAGGCTTCCAATAATGTTTTGATTTAATAAAATTATGACGAACTTTGCGTTTCATCTTTGTATACTTATAGTGATATACGCATTCTTTCATATCGTGCATAGTGTAGCTTATATAATATATATATGTATCTTATTTCCTTCCTTGGATTGCTTCTCTACTGATTATAATTAGTTTGACTTTGAAAAACATATATATATATATTTTTTGAATGCTCCTGTTCATTTGTAATTTAATTTATAATTTTTTATCTTTCTATCGTTGATTGGTGATTCTTTTTTTTATAGATTTACAGATTATTTATTATTATTTTTGAAAGATGGATTCTATCGTCGGATTTTGGGGTGAGCCGACTGCTACAAGTATGTATGAAAACTTGATTATTTATTCCATTCTTTTTTTTACTAATACATTTTAACAATTTAACAATTAGTTGGTGAGTATTACAAAACATAATTTACTATTTTAAGAATTTCTGACCCATGTCAATCCATATTATTTATTAGCTGATATAAATTTGTATAATGATTTTATGTAAACTAGACTGGTGTGAAAGAAATTATGATGTAACTCATTATATTGCTGAATTTTTCAATACAATTTCTTCCTTATGCATGGTTTCTGCTGGAATATTTGGTATTTATAAGCATTCGAAAGGCTTTGAACCTAGATTTTCTATATGTTTTGCTTCGTATGTATAATTATCATTACTACCTTAAATACCTTAAATACCTTAAATATCTTAACTACATTAAATACCTTATCCCACTTCTAATTTGGTAAAGGATAATTGTGGTAGGAATTGGTTCGATCCTATTTCATGGCACGTTACTCTTTTCCTTACAATTATTCGATGAAGTACCAATGATGTTTTGTGTCTTGATGTTGTGTTATTCGGTTTTTGAAAATCAAAAAGAGAAAAAATTCGGAAATTGGCTTCCTATTGGATTAACTCTTTGGGGTCTGTTTATTACTACGGTTATGGTATTGAGCGGAAGTGATCATCAAGATAGAATGATGCAGTTAATTGAATTTTATGTTTTTCAAGGTATTATTTTTACTTTTATCTTTTTTATATCAATGATAATCTTCTATTAACAAATATATATATATTGACTTCTCTTTTCTTCTAGGAACATTCGTAATAATGGCTGCATGCGTCTACATACACACTTTATTAATCGTATTTGATACAAATGTTGAAAAAGGTGTCCGTAAATTATGGTTCTTGGGAAGCGTGGTGTTTCTAATCGGTTATATTGGATGGCATATTGATTTGCATTTTTGTAGTGGAATGCATCAATTACCATTTGATGTACCTAATCCACAATTACATGCTTGGTGGTAAGTTCTATAAAAAATTTATTTATTCTTTTTCTATATTATGCCTAATTCTTTCTTTATAATAAGGCATTTAACGGCTTCATACGGAAGTTATCTAATATGTGTACTCGTAACTTATAATGGTTCAAAAGTATTGGGTAAGAATCCATGCTTACAATGGATTTTAAATGTTTTACCATACATCGAATTACCCGAACCTAGTATCCTGAATGAGAAATCTTCACTCTATGGAACCAAAAATAGTGAAAAGGGATTACCTTATGGTACTATCAATAATGCTGGTCATGATAATGAAAAGGTTGGTGAATTTGAGAAACATGTTAATTCTACTCACTAAATAGAATAAACTATAACTTATTGTGAATATAGTAATCCATCAAGAACTGTAAACCATCTAAAAAATTATACCTGTGATTCCACTATGTAAATTGTAGATGTAGATTCATAGTACATAAAAAAATTTTTTATTAATAAATTTTGTTTTTTTTATACATAATTCTGTATACATACTATATATCGATATAGTAATATTTTTATTGTACGTAAATTCTACGTACGTACGTATTAATATATACGTATACGTACATATAATTGATTTTTGTATGCTATTATACATATATATATATATACTGTAATAAGATTTTATATTATATATTTTATACCTTGCACTTGTCTAATCCAATGAATAGTGTATTCGAATATTCGAATATATAATTGAATATTCAAGTATAAAAAATTATTCACCAAATAATTCATCGAATATTTAAGTGTTAGTCTGAAACACAACATTAATAAAAATTATTATTTTATTATGTTAAGATTCTTTTATCAAATCTTTAATTTTATCTTAGGCTATATAAACTTATATGACTTATATGATCAGTTTTTCATATCCCAGTCGGGTCAGTATAGCGGGAATCCAAAATTTTTATTTTTTTAATCTATCAACCCAATAGAAATACTCCACGCATATTATGTAGTTGGATTTTTAAATAGTGAGTTCTGTTTCTAATTCCACTCTAATATTTTTTGTATTGATCTATCGTCAATATGAGTATCGCCTAAATGTTAATCAGCGAGATACTGTATAATGGTAATGAAAGCACATGGGCCGAGTTCTGCAAAAAAGAGGGAAGTCAACAAAAACAAGGTCTTCGGAAAATATTCTTTTTTTTTAATAAATCATAAGAAAATGTTAAACTTTAATTATTGATCCGTATTGAATTTATCCGGATATCCATTTACTATTGATAGCCAGATAATCCGGCAAATATTCGGATAATTATCTGGTAAAACGGATATCCGATAGATTATCGGATAAACGGATAATGGATTGGAACTCTAATAAGCTACGTATACTGCAGAATTTTATTAATTAAAAAATGATTCTAAACATTATTCTAAATTAATTTATTTAAACAATTCATTTTAAAAAATCCTCCTTTTTTACAGAACCTAGCCCACATGTACTAGACTTCAAAAAAGAATCTCATTTACAAATAATCGTTACATTTAATCCTTATAGAAAATTTTAGAGTTCCAATCCATTATCCGTTTATCCATTTATTTATCGGATATCCAGACCTGAATTTATTCGGATATCCGGTTTACTATTGATATCCGGATACCAATAGTAAATGGATATCCAGATAAATTCAGATATGGATAAATAGATGGTAGATTTATCTGGATTGGAACTCTATAGAAAATCATTAACATTAATTGTACATAATAGAAAGAGTTCAAAAACTATGATTTTTTTTTTTTGAGATAATCAAGTTTATTGTAACCAATCGAAATTCACTACAAAAGAATATTTTTCTTAATTAGAATTTTTATATTGTATTATTAATGAGCAAGAAGTGACATTTTCGAAAATAATGATAAAACTGTGTCGAGTAAATAATTTTATCCGACATTTCATACAGAAAAAACTTCACATGGTCATATTAACTATCCGATAACATCATTATTGAACATACGTACGACAAATAACAGGCAATCTTTTTGTCGTCTGCTCAATAATGTATACATAACGTCACAAATGTTAATGCTTTGAATCTTGACACATGAAGCTTGTCGGCCGAACTGATAAGTAAACAGACGCGAAGCTAAAACATTTTTTATGAAAGATACGCGTGGCAGTGTGTTGAAATTCTAAGCGAAGCTTTAAACGAAAGCATTAAGAAGGGATAGTCAAAGTCTCTTTTAATTATACTTTCAAGAAGTTATTTCAAGAACATAACATCGACTCTTTTAATTATACTTTCAAAAAGTTATTTCAAGAACATAACATCGACTCTTTTAATTATACTTTCAAGAAGTTATTTCAAGAACATAACATCGACTC